CATAAACCAAAGAGTTTTCCCAAAATAAAACCATCAGCCTGCTCTTAGGCACATTGCAGCGTATTACAATAGGAGATGCATGACTGAAGTGACTTTCTTGTTGAGGCTGTGTATCTGTGTCCCTAGGATTCCTTTGCAACTGGAAGCAAGCACATCAGGAGAAAGGAGATGCTTTCTCAGACAAGACACACTGCCTGGGCAGGCAGGTCAGCAGGACTGGGTGTGCACAGGGCAGATTTCAGAATCCAGACCAACTTCAGGCCTTGTAAGCCTTAACACCAAACTAGAACATTTTTCAGCCTTCCAGACTTGAGGGGAGCCTACAGGAAAGATGGAGAGAGACTCTTGACAAGGGCCTTGAGTGACAGGACAAGGGGGAATGGCTTCACACTGACAGAAGTGGAGGGTTATATGGAAAATTAGGAAGAAATTGTTTGCTGTGATGGTGCTGAGGCCCTGGCACAGGTTTTCCAGAGAAGCTGTGGCTACCCCAGTCCTGGCAGTGTCCAAGGCCAGGCTGGATGGGGCTCTGAGCAAGCTGGGATAACGGCAGGTGTCCCCGCCCATGGCAGAAGGTTGGAATGAAATTATCTTTAAGATCCCTTCCAAACAGGCCATTTTGTGATTCTATGATTTTTTTTTGAAATTGAGGATATCAGCAGCTCTCACCACAAATTGCACCCATCCTCTCTCCCACAACACCTAAGAAAACTCAGACCCCTTAAAATGACAGAAACACTCCCTGTTCAGAAAACAAAACCTTTTAGGGACTGGTTCTGCTTTGCCTGGGAGCTGTGCCAAGGATTTCAGCTGGAGGAGGAATGAGGCCCTTCATTTCAGTTCATTAGAGCAGGCACTCTGCAGAAACTGCTGGTACACACTGCGGTCCCAAACCCAGTGGGCTGTGCTTACCTCATCTTGTTCACGTAGGTGAGCTGAGCCAGGATGTTTTCTTTAGTCGTGGGCAGTGTGACAAGAATGGGGCCTCCAAATAAGGTCACTCAGGATGTGTTTAACAACACTGGGTGAAATCTGTGGCAAAGGCAACTGCACACACCACACACACACACACACACACACACACACGCACACACACACACAGCATCCACTGTACATTCCCTCGGCTCAGTGCATCAGTATTCCTAGAATAACTGCTGGAGAGCACTCCACCCTTGTGCTTCCAGCGCTGGGGGTGTGATCGTCCCAGAGCCACTTGTAACAGCGATTTTAAGGAAGCAGAGGCAGAGGGACAGGCCCCTGATTTCTGTGACCTCTTTTGAAGAGATCCAGTGCAAAGGAAATTATTAAGAGCAGAGGTAGTTTCAAATCTATCAACCCAAACTCCCGTGTGAGCGCAGCAGCAGAGAGCAAAAGGTTCCTGAGGCCAGCACAGGCACTCAGATGGCACAGAATGCTGCAAAAGGGCAAGCCACCCACCTGTTTACATATAAGTCAATATGCTTTATTAGGCAAGAGTGCTACAGGTGCTCCTACGTGATGAAAGGAAGTCCAGCACTGTGAAGCAACGTGTAGTTTTACTCGCAGGAGAATCCTGGAAGGCAAATCCATTAGATTGAGTAGAAAACTTTTTTTTTTTAACCCACAAATTTCTGATGGTCCACAAAGCCCTTCTAAAAGATAACTGCAAGTCAATTCTAGTAACTTCAATCTGTTGTAAAAAAAAAGCTTGCCTTTGCCTTGTGAGTCCTCTCTAGAACTGAGGGGATAAGCAGTAAAAGAAAGCAGCACCAGGAATGACATTTAGCTGCTGAGGGTTTTACAGAGTTTAGGTGGTAAATTTTGACTGCAAAATGACCTAAAGCTGAAACTCAAAGCAGTCAAAATGGGGGAAAGCCAGAGCTCCTGTGACCCTCAGTTCCTTCTGTGTACCCTTTTGCAGTTAAAGGATGATACCAGGGAAGCCTGAGTGTCATCTGTGTTCCAGCTGAGGCACCTGGCCCAGGTGAGTGCCCAGAATACCTGGCTAAACCTGAGCTGAGCTGCCTCTGGAGCAAGGAGCAAGAGACAGCAGGAGCAGGCCTGGGACAAAGGCATGGCAGGGAGGGAGGGGAGTGAGACTCACTAAGGGCTGGAGCATTAATCACAGAATCACAGAATGATATGGGTTGAAAGGGACCACAAATATCATCTTGTTTCAACCACCTGCTATGGGCAGGGACACTTCCCCCCTAGACCAGGTTGCTCAATGTTTATCTTGAATAAATTTCATTCTGAAAGCTGGGGTCTGTCTTATCCATATTTTCCTTTCATCTTTTGCTTTGGAGTGAGGATTTCCTCACTTTACCTTGGTTCCTGACATTGACAATAGGTGGTAGCTCCTTCAGGCTGTCTCCCAGCTCCTTTTCCAGGATATGTCTAATGAGCACCCTGCACTGCTGTGGCACCTGTCGCTGGCAGTGTAGCACCTCTGCAGTGGGAAGTGGAGAATGTGGCAAAGTGAAATGGTTGTGATATTTAAATTCAGCCCCATTTTTCCCCTTTTATTTCTCCCTTTTATTTTACAACAAGCAATTTCTGTTAATTATCAGCAATTTCTTAGCTGAGAACTGAGAAAAGCCATCTCAGTTCATCAAACACCACACAGCAATATAGCAATCTGAAAAATCAATACCAGCTCCTGTGGTAAAAGTTGCAGAAATATTGTTATTGCTGATGCATCAGCAAAAAAACATGCAAGACAAGAAAGGTTGTCATCACTTCTATTATAACAGACTTGGCTGAAGAAGTAAAGAAACTTTAATACACCTGGCTACCCCAACATTTGAATGAATACAGGATAAGAGAAATAGCCACAGAAGGAATAAATGGATCAGCCTGAAATAAAAAAGACATGGACTGTAAAAAAAAACAAAAACAAAAACCCACAACAAACCCCATGTAGTGGGCATTTATAAGTTTAAAGCAAAAAAGTCTATAAAAAAGCAGCAATTGTATTATTCTCACAAGCAGGGATTTAATAAATTTATTTTAGCCCAGCAGATTAAACAGAACTTAGTAAAGTCTGGAGTTTTCTTGATGCTGTGGGAAACTTTAGAAAATGCTAAACAATTTAACCTTGTAAAAGTTATCTTTGCTTGTCTGATTGTTATAAAAAGATAAACAGATGCTCACAACTGGCATGTGCTTAAATAAGGTTCAATAATTTTTTCACACATCTGACAATGTTTTCTGTGCCACCAAGGCACTGGAAAAAGATCAGATCAGTGCATGCTGGCAAGCACAGCAAAATGTCATGGTTAATAGGAAACATCAAACCAATAGAATGTCACAAAATGTCACAAAAGAATGACAGAATATTCCAAGAGGGTACAATGCCTCTATGAGACACTTCTGCAACAGAGGTATCAATATCCACACTTCCCTAGGAGTCTAATCAAGGGGGCAAAGAAAAAACCAGAACAACCAACCAACAAACCCAAACATTTGTTCTAAGATCAGAGTGAAAAATATGGGTGAATAATTTCAACAGTAAATAGAGAAATTTCTTAAAAAAAAAAAAAAAAAAGAGAGAGAAGAAAAATTAACTCTCCTTTCCTTCTAAGCTACCTTTTCATTAAAAGCATTTCAGATGTTATAACCAGTAAAACATCTGAGGCCTGGATTGTCTTTCAGTGCAGCCAGCTTTGTCAGCCTGCTCAGTTTAAGATCTGACCCTTATACACTTTGGCTAAAAAGTGCTGTCACAGTGTCATTTACACTTACTCTGACGCAAGTCTCTGGATTTACACAGGTGTGGCAGCAGAATTTGGCAGGGTTTTGCTCATTTTAAACAATAAAAAAACCAAAATCAGATCCACTTTTACAGTGGGTTACAGCTGTATCAATCCATTAATGTTATCAATCCATTATATGCTGATGGTACAGCTCCACAGCTTGTCAATGAAACTAAGAATTTTTCATGCTGTATCCAGCTAGAGACTGAAACTGAACCTAACACCGCTACAGTTAAAATCCTCGGGTTTCATTAAGGAAATATGCATTTATTGTTTGGTACTTTTGTCAAGTTTATATTAAATTTTGAAAGGAATCTTAACACAGTCCAGTTTTGGAACCTATCACTCCTGTCATTGATTCACCCATATACAGTGTCCCATTAGTACAGCGTTTTCATGTAATAAATTGAACCATCTTTTTTAAATCAGAAAATTTGTTTGTAAAGACCCACAACATTGGCAGGATACCTGAGAAGCAGTCTTGTATCTTGGAATATTTTTTACAAACTGCCAGCCAGATGTGCAATGCAGGAGCAAACATCCAGCTTTTAAGTGTTTTACACATTATTTTCAACTGCTTTTGGCCAACTTTAGATTATTTGTGTGACTCAGAAGGAAACAGGAGAAATAAAAGGGACAGATTATTTAAGCAGGCTCTGCTCATATCAAGTTCCCTTCTCTTGAATGGAGTGACACAAGTATCAGCCCAACAGGCTTAGTGTGGAACTTAGACCATAATGAAGGGGGAATCAGGCTCAGGACAACTTAATACTAACTTTTAGTACCTTTGCAACAAAATTTAGCTGTATTTGATGTTTCCACTAAATCAGAATGCAGCTTGGAAACAGTGAGAGGAGGTGGGAGTCTGAATCAACACATCTGGCAAAAAAGAAAGATAATTCAGGTCCGAAGGGTCATTCCCTTCAGTTCAAGTGCAGCGGTTGCCCTTCCTGGATCCAACAGCAGAGGCGTGGGAAGCTTTCAGATGTCACAGGGTTGTAGATAACATTTGAACATATGATTAGCTTTTGTGAGCTGTCTTTAGAAACCTTACATTTTTCCCCCACACACCTTAGCCAGAGATCCTTCCCTTGAGGTTTCGGGACACTTAAAATGTTGCTTTGCCAAAAATCAAGGATGTGGAGAAGGTTTCCTGTGTGATGTCATGTTGCTGCCCTTTATAAGCCTCTGCAGAGAAGAAGGGACCCTGTCTGAGGATTCACACTCCAGGCACGAGGGGAGGTGAGGAGCAGCCGCTGACCCACCATGGAGCGGCGAGCCATTCTCCAGGGCATTCCCTGCAGCTCCCTGCTCCTCCTACTCTGCAGCCTGAAGGCTTCCCTTGCCTTTCCCAACTCCTCTCCACTGCTGAGCCCCAGCTGGGGCAATGGAGACTACCTGATGCACCTCTACACCGACACTGAGAGGAGCAGCTTCCACCTCCAAATCAACACTGATGGCTACATCGATGGCGCTCCTCACCAAACCATCTACAGTAAGTGGCTTCCTACAGACCTCCATGGGAGCAGGGGAGGGACAACAAGAATTTTTTTTCCTTCCTCACCACCTGTAGAAAATCCCCTCTTCTCATTAGGCAGGCAGAGGAGCATAGCCATGGGATGGAAAATACACATCATTATAATTCTTCTTTTGTTTAACAAATAAAATCGTTCCAAAGAAATCTAGTCGATAGGGAATTTCATTCCTTGCCTAGGACAACTAAAGTCCTGTGGTTCCTGTAATACCCTGCAAGGAAAAACCACCTGAATTATCCTTCATTTCATGGTTTTACCTCCAGTTTCTGGAGGAACCTCCTATTAGAGGTTAATAATCCTCCAAATAGCTGCTTCCCACTGCTGGTGCTACCAAAGGAACTGCACTGAGGGAACTCGCCAGAGCAGTGCTGGAAAACTGATGGCATCCATAAAATCTGTATTTTGGGGTGGAGGGCTGAGAACTACTAAAAGTTAAGTTTCAATATGCACAAAACATGGGCATGCAAAGATCAGTTAAAAAGGGGGAAACTATCCAAGTCCAAACTAGCATAAAAGAAGTGTTGAGCCTTTGGGGTTCATGAGAAGAACCTATACCCTAGTATCACTAAAAGGTTCTCAAATTATGTCTTCAGAATCTATTTAATTATGTATTTTATTATTCTATTTCAACACAGAATAGTTTATTCTTCTTCCTTTGCTAAATACTTTGCCCAAAGTCTTTAGTTAGTAGACAAATGTGGGAGGGGTCTAAGAGTTAGGATTCTTTTATAGCATTTCTTCTATAAATAGAAATATTTTCTTTCTATAAAAGAAAACATTTCTCTCTTAGCAGCATTCAAATCACAAGGTATGCATCATAAAATCAGGTTTTTATTATTATTATTATTATTATTACTATTATTACTACATCTATTCTATACACTCAGTTAAAAATCTAAGCCTAGGTAATGAAGATTTTACATAAGTAAATAAGGATGGTTTTTAAAGTTATAATTTAATTAATGAGGAAAAAGTATCACATTCTGCTATTTTTTAAAGGAATTGATAATGCAACACTGACAGAAATGCTGGCACTGTCTTGTTATTCTTCCTACATATTAAAAGACTTTATGAAACTCATTTTAGGTATGTTGGTCAAGAACCAGTGTGGGATTTTAGAGAACAACAGACAGCAAAATATCACATTTTCCCATATATGCCATGAAACAAGCATAGCAGGATTTGGAATGGTGGAGCAGGAAACATGGAAATCAGACAACAAAAGGGATATTGAGAGGGAAGGTGACTGATTTGCTGCCACCAGACAATGTGAAGTGCCTAGTTCTGCACCAGGGTAGCATGGCCTGGGTGTGCACAAATCTCCTGGGTGGGACAAGGCAACAGTCAGATGCAAGGATGAGATCAAGGAAAGTTGTTATTCCCACCTTACCTGGTACCAGTGACAATGGTCTTGGAGCACTACAGCAACCCCAGGTCATGTTGGATGAGTAGAAGATAGAGTTGGTCTGGCACAGGGTTTTCAGGGGGCCTTGATCATGATCTATTGTGGTTTTAGTACAACAAAAAAGGATGTTAAGGGCAATGTAATGGCAGAATCACAGACTGACTGAGGTTGGAAGGCACCACAGGGGGTCACCTCCCTGCTCCAGTAAGGCCATCCTAGACTCAGGGCACAGAATTGTGTCCACATGGGTTTGGAATATCCCCAGTAAGGAGACTCCACACCCTCTCTGGACAATCTGTTCAGGGCTCAGTCACTGCACGGGACAGAAGTTCTGCCTCCTGTCCAGGTGGAACTTCCACCTAAGTATCGGTTTCTGCCCATTCCACTGGTGCCACTGCAGGGCACCACTAAAAAAATACCACATGTCACAAAGATGAGGGGAACAAACTCCCCCTGGATGTAGGTAATGGCAGAACTGAGGGCAATGTCCTCAGACCACAATTTGGGACTTCAGAGGGAAAAAAAGTTGTCTTTGGGAGGTTAGTGCCACATTGGAACAGGGCACCCGAAGAGGTGCCCTCCATCCTGGGAGTTTTCCAATGCCCCAGCAAACCTGATTTAGGGTGGGCAACAGTCCCAGATCATGTGGGAGGTTGGTTTGAACTCCCAGAGGTCACTTCCAGCCAGAGCATCCGTGGGTCTGTAAATGCATTGTTGAAATGGATTTGATGTTTTTGTTGTTCTGAACAGGTGCCCTAATGATCAAGTCTGAGGATGCTGGCTCAGTAATAATCACAGGTGTGAAGAGTGGACGCTACCTGTGTATGGACATGAAAGGAAACATATTTGGCTCGGTGAGTGACCTCTTCTAAGCCTTGAGGCTGAATGGCCAGTGCATTCTGCTGCTGTGGTGCCCATTTCCCCAGCCAGGGCAAGCCTGGGTAGCTGCAGGTGGAGGGGGAAGCGTTAGAGAAGATCTGACACTTAGGTCAAACTTTGCTCTCTCCTTTGATTGTATTAAGTTGTAGAACTGACAAAAATCATCTGAGACCCTGCCTGGGTAAATGAGGACAAAAAAAAAAAAAAAAAAAAACCCAAAAACACAAAAAAAACCCAAAAAAAAAAAAAAAACCCCCCAAAAAACAAACAAAAAAAAAAAAAAAAAAAAAAAAACCACAAAACCAACCCAGGAAAAAACCACCACCACCAAAACCCCTACTTTTCCATATTACAGAAAGGAACCAATCTGTCATGGCACAGAGCCATGGGTGGGGACCCTCTGGAAGAAAACAGGGTTTATAATTAAAATTCCTTTGCTGAAAGCATGGAAATGCAACTCTGATCTGCATTTGGGTCTGACACAGACCTGAGAGATTAGAAAAACACCTGCTGCAAGATCTCACCTTTCTTTTCCTCTTTAACCAGTGTTTGCAATTCACCAGACTCCTCTGCTCACAAGTGTCCTATTTTTTCTCCTCAGCATTACTTCAGCCAAGAGGACTGTGTGTTCAACCACAGGACACTGGAAAATGGGTACGATGTGTACCAATCCCCCAAACACCACTTCTTGGTGAGCTTAGGCAGAGTTAAACAAGCCTTCTCCCCTGGTATGAATCCACCACCATACTCCCAGTTTTTGTCCAGGAAGAATGAGATCCCTCTGTTCCGATTCAACACCCCCGAGCCCCACAGACACACCAGGAGTGCAGATGTTGATCCTGTAGATCCTCACCAGATCCTGGTCCCACAAAGGAAGACCCCGGTGTTTGGCTCCCTGCAGCAGCAGCCAGCAGACTTTTCCCACATGCCCAGGGAGCCCATGAGGATCAACCAGAATGATGTGGTGAACCCTGATGATCCCCATGCTATGATGGAAGCCAGGAGGTACCCAAGCCCCCGCTTCTATATCACGAGATAACCGTGGCCCCCACGCTCACCAGGTGAAGACAGGGGCAAAAGGAACTAACTGTCTGTCACACTCAGCCTGAATGCCAAAGTGGCTCTTAGAAACCTGGGAGACACTGCGAAAAGTTCCTTAGCTTCAAATCTTGTTTTGTCAGTAAACTGCTGTCTGTAAGTACAAGTCAGATTTTTCCAGCTCAGGCTCCACACAAAAGAAGATCCATTTTTGAAAACAATAACACAAACCAAACCTTTTGGGGTCTGAATCACTTTAAGTCTGCATCAATGATGAAAACAAACAAAAAAAGGAATCTCTTGTATGAAATGGGAAACTGATTTTATGTTACTGATGTAGAGATCTGGAGCATCCAAGATGCCAGCAAAGACAGGGAATCTCTTACTAGCATCATCCTGTCCAAGCACAGCAGACAAACTGCCAGGTGGTGTGTTATTTTATTCTATAAAAATTATCATGTAATGTATCTAATATCTGAAGGGGCAACAAGCTGGAGAGAGACTCTTCATCAGAAACTGCAGAGACAGAACAAGGGGGAATGGCTTCATTCTGACAGGAGTAGGTTTAGATTGGATATCAGGAAAAATTTGTGTCCTGTGAGAGTGGTGAGGCCTTGGCACAGGTTGCCCAGAGCAGCTGTGGCTGCCCCATCCCTGGAAGTGTCCAAGGCCAGGTTGGATGAGGCTCTGAGCAACCTGGGATAGTTACAGGTGTCCCTGCCCATGGCAGGGGGGGTGGAGTGGATGAGCCTTAAGGTCCCTTCCAACCCGTGATTCTTTGTTTTTAGCTTTTAAGTTGAAGTTTCATTCTCTCTTCACCCACATGAGTCAAAAAAAGACACTCTGCTGTTGTAGGAGCAGCAGACATGGAAAACTGGAGGAATTGACAGGATAACAGCACAGGACTAAAGGGTCCTGTGGAAAAAGAGCAATTCTGACACTGAATCTAAGCTGAGGTTTTGAAAAAAAGATGAGAGTCTCACTCTCTCTCAAGTGGTTCTCTATCACAGTTCTACATTTACTAAATTCTAGAATCCAAATATGGAAATAAAGATCATTAATTCTGCATATTTCCAACTCAGAGAGAAGTACCAGGATTAATAATAATCAGTAGTGTGTTAAACAGGACGATTTGTTTTGCATAATACTAAACTCTACAGGGGGGAAACAATTTTACATTTTATAAGGATCAAAGGATTAATATTGAGACTATAATGAAGACTCTCATCTAATGAGTCAAAATTAGGTTTGTATTTAGAAAAGGAATGTCCAGTTAGCATCCATGCTTGTATTCAGCTCTGAGCAGGTATCAGATGCTTTATACTTGTAGGAGTGAAATTACTGTTAATCAGATCTCTAATGGCGACAAAACCCTTTCCCTAGCTTGGTTTATGCTTTGGGTAAGTTCACTTTGAAAAAGCTGTTCTTGATGAACTCTGCAGAAATCAGGTGCAAGGCAATGATGAGCAGCACAAAATCCAGTGTGGCAGAGATTTGTTTTTATTTTGTGGGGTTTGTTTGCATGTCAAAACACAGATTGTTCTGCTCTGTTTATTTAGAGTATTTATCAGCCTGACAACAATTTGAAGTGATACACTGCTCCTCACTGTGCTCATAGCAACATACAAAAAAAAATTAGGTTGGATGCTGTTCTTTTTCTCATGAAGTAGTTCACTGAAGCCACTGGAGTTACATCAGTGCAACAAAATCAAAATAAGAACCCCCTGTGCTTCTTGCTTTCATTTAATTTTTTTCTGGATTTAGCATAGCAGCAGGACTGCTGCCAGCTTTTAAAATAATCTCTTTTCCCCCCCATATTTATATATATACACAATATCTCTTTATCTACCACATCAAACTCATTATGTTGGAAAAGTCATAGGTCCCTGATTCTGCTCTTAGAATAGTCTTCCTAGATGGAGAGATTCCTAATTAGTATAAATATTTAGGAGCACAGGACAAGCCAAATGATCAGGATTAGTCCAAGAGTTCCATCTCCTGGAATTTGTTTTTCTGAAGTTATTCCTTTTTTAATTAATTTCTGAAGGAAAAGAGCGATTCTAAGGAATTAAGGAATTGCAGGCAGGCAGACAGTTGTGCTTTTTCTTGCTTATTCAAAATACAGCAAGACTTTTTAACTTGCTATCTATACAGTGGAGAGGTGTGATTTTATTTATGTCCTATTTTGATCTTTTTACTTGATTCCTATACCATTATTCTTGGCTTTTGCTCTTTGAGAGCTCTGGACTTCAAGTTTGCATTTTGCATTAATTGTTGGAAGCTCCTCTCTAGGACTGAGGCAACTGCCCTACAACAACTGGAACCATTAAAAGTTCTGTCCACATTAAATTTTGATGGGATTTATTGGTGGGGTTAAATCTATAGACCATCTCTAAATTCCTACACTAGAACAGAGTAAGAAAGTTTGCTCACTCTATCAGTAGCCAGGGGATAAGTAAGCTAAGACTGAATACACGGTGGATTTCCACCAAAAAAACCATATATGTAACTACAGGCAACTTTATCAAAACTTAAAAGAATTTATTCTTCAATGGAAATGCTAGCAATCATCAGCTAGTAAGAAAGCATTACTTATTTATGTCACAGTATTTATTTATTTATTTGAGTGGGTCTTAAATCCTGCAGAATATTTATAAGTATTTACAATAATGTATTATAGAGACTATTTCCTTTTTAAAAAAGTACCAATAAACTTTTCCATTATCTCCAAATGGTGGACTCTGCATTGTCTGTTCAAGCTCCCCCTTCCAGAAGTACTTGAGTGAACAAATAAATGGTAGCAGCAGTGTCTGAAAATTTTTGTGTGCTGCTGTCCCCTGTGACTGCCAGCCTCACAGGTTTCAGATTCCCAAGTGTCTCATGCACCCCAAATATAAAAGTTATGTGAAAGATTATGAGAAAAACAGTGTCTTAGTAGGTCTAGACTGACCATGAAGGGATTTGAACCTCTATTGGGAAATGTCTTATTCAAGCAATGGGAAATCACAGGTCAGTCAGTTCAGTCCTGCTGGGAATTGTTTATGATCCTGGCTCAAAGATCTTGGGATAAAAGATACTTGGTAAATTAAAAGCCTCTGCAGGGAGGGCTCTGAGCAGGGCCCAGGCTCTGCTCCAGGGGCCCAGCAATGGCACCAGAGGAACAAGCAGGGACTGATCCCAGAAATTCCATCTGGACATGAGGCAGAACTTCTGTCCTGCGCAGTGACTGAGCCCTGAACAGGTTGCCCAGAGAGGGTGTGGAGTCTCCTCACTGGGGATATTCCAAACCCATGTGGACACAATCCTGTGCCCTGTGCTCTAGGATGGCTCTGCAGAAGCAGGGAGGAGGCACCACATGAGCCACTGTCAGGGTCCAGCCGGACCCATTCTGTGAAGATTCAAACAGTTGTAAGATTGGAAGTTCATCATTTCCTCCTCTGCATGCTATTCTGCCGCACATAGTTATTGATGATGCCTTCTCACTAATAATTTACATTCCTGTATTTTTATTTGAAGTCGTTAGAAAAAAAATTGCCCCCTAAAGGCCTTAAATAGCAGCTTTTCTCCAGTTCAGTGGTTGACCTTGGACATTCCTACTTCTATGCCCACTAATTCCTTGCATACCTTCTTCACCATGTTTTTTCTCCTGAGCAACATTGATCTTTACCAGCTGAGCTGATGGTTTCTATTGTGGCATTAAGCATTCAATTAAGATTCACCTAGATCATATTTAATTTTTCCCTTGCCTATACATTAGTTACTTCATCAAAGAACTACCCATTTAGTCGAGTGTGAACTATTTATGGTAAAAACTCATTTAATTAGATTCCAAGTTTCACTTACCTCTCTTGTCTGTAATAACTCTTTCCTTCAGAATTGGTTGCATTAACCATTATTTAAATTTCTTTGGAGAATTAGAATTGTGTGATTCTTGGGAGTGTCCCATGTAGGGCCAGGAGCTGGACTCAGTGATTCGTGTGAGTGCTTTCCAGCTCAGGATATTTCACTATTCTAAAACTAATTTTGTGATTCTTTTTTTCACCTCAGCTTTTACATTCAGTAAATTCACTTTTCAATGGCCAGCTGTTCCAAAACACATTCAGGACTTTTTACAGTCAAGTGTGCTGCACCACATCATCTATGGCTGGATGACCCAACTGGGCATCAGAGGGAAAGAGTTCTGCCTGGAGCATTCCTTTGGTGACCAGTACCAGCCTGGTACTCAAGATTCCTGGGTTTTATCCCAGTATTCTCCTGTGCGTTGTGCTCTGTGCCCTCAGAGCCCTCCTGCCAGGCTCTGGTACTCAGGCAAGTAATGCACTGCCACATGGGGTCCCTGCAACCTGGGAACCCCAAAGCTGTTTGCAGGTGACAGCAGAGCTGTCTGTCACATGAGACCCTCCTGAATGGCACTGGAGTCACCACACACACAGATGCCCCACAGTGGCTCTGCCATATCCATGGACACCAAGAAGCAGCTCACAAATCACCGTGCAGTTCATTTGTGCCATGCAGCTGTGCCATTTGCCTGGGACTACCAAGATCTAAAAACCTCCAGCTCATGGCCAAAGCCCTCAAAAGCAGGACACATCTGGGGGAAATCTGACATATTTTAAGTCCAGGCATGTAGGTTGTGGATCTGAGGCAGCCAAAAGCTTGGATATAGAATGCATCTATTTAAATTATGTTCTAATTTTTTTTTTTTTAAAGGGAAAAACCTCCTCCTTTTGCAAAGGCATGGCTATGTCTGCACAACAGTCTTCAACAGAGAACTGTGGGAATAGAGAAAATATCTTTGCTTTAGAGGAAGGAAACTGATACTACCAGAGCCCTCTGCCTAACAACTGCTTGAGGAGAGGCAGACCTGTGAGGAGATGGAGCCAGCATCCATTGCCACTACTGAGTAGCCCCTCAAATATGTTCTGTTACTATTCCTAACAGACCTATCTATTGCTGCAGCTCTCCTTTTCCAGGATCCCAATAAACTGTACAGATTTACTG